GCTGATGCTGACTGCTACAGGAACAATTACCCACACATCCATGACTGCTGCAGGTTTTTGATCACTGTTACCTCCCAACAACAGAGAGACATAGTTGCTGGGGTGCTCAGGAAGCCCTACCAGCATCAGGAACATGCAAGACTGGAATCAGCACCCTGGCTGTGGATGTTAATACACCTTCTCTGGAAAACTAGCAACAAACTTGCTCTGACTGTTTTTGTGATTTTTCTTTTCCTCACCAGCACGCTTCTACCTGCCACAAGGGCAGACACAGAGCCGGCCTGGGGCAAACTCTAGTTTGTTTTAGCAAGTAGGGAACACAGCAGCCCAAGGTGGATGGGGAATAAAGAACCTTGCAAGAGCCTGGAGGGCTCAGGGGTGACCCTGCTTGCACATTTAGACTTGTTTCTGTAACATCTCTCTTTCCCAGGTTTCCAGAAGGAAGCGGACTCCCTCTTGTCAGTGACCAAACTCAGCATCATCAGCGATTCTCAGAACATGGGCAAAGCCCGGGACATCTTGTTAAAGCTTTCTGAAGAGACAAACATCTTCCCAACCAGCTGGGAGCTTTCTGAGCGCTACCTCTTTGTGGTGGTGAGTAGCTCTGAGCATACCTTCCTCCCCGCTGTCCCTGTTTCTGCAGGTGAGCTCAAATGAAGGGAACCAGCTAGGTGAACTGCACCAGAAGGTGCTCAGATACATGGTGGCACCTGGGGCATCCCCATCAGATAGTGCACTTGTAGCTTGGCTGTTTAGCTTCTGTGGAGTAATAGGGCATAGACTCTGGCAGGGATTCAGGCCAAAGACCTTTATTGCTACTAGTGTCTGCTTTTTATGCAGTTACAGCTCTTTCACGCGCCACAAAATACGTCCTGGTTGGTTACCACACACAGTCCACACGCTTCTCGCACAGTCAGGATTCGCTGCCTGCAGGTGTCCACGCGCTCCTTAACTTCCTCTTAGTTGTTTACCACAGCTCCTTCTCCTCGAGGCTGAGCCGTGCAGATATCCAGCTGTTTACCAGCTTCTCAATGCCACAGCTCCTTCTGCTTAAGGTCAAGCCCTTGCAGGGTGATCCCAACAAGCTTCCTCAGAAACGTCAGCACTGTAGCACCATGAGTTTACCCTCCCCAAGTTCCTTTAACTCTGTGCAACTGGGTGCTCTTGCAGCCTGTTAACAAAGTGAGAAAAGATTAGATCTAATGCCTTGCTCAACTTGAGAGCGGCTGTGGAGGGAGAACCTGACCAGGGAGCTGCCCGAAGCACCCCGTAGTGACTGTAAAACCCTGTTGCTTTGACAGGATCGGCTTATAGCTCTGGACGCTGCGGATGAGTTCTTCAAGATGGCCAGCATCATGTATCCAAAGAGACCCAGCGGGGAAAGCGGA